GAGAATTGGAGATGCACCAATTGCAAACATTGCTCAGTGAGCTCAGTGAGGAAAGGTAGAAGGGAGATGAGACAATAGTAGCATAGCCAGGGGTGGCTTCCTTTTTTCACATGGGAAAGTCTAAAACAGGGCTGTCACGCTTGTCTGATCCTCTGGGATCCAACCACATGCAGTTCCCCCCCCTTCCCCTCATTCCCCTTGCTGTTCTGGGACCCATACTACACATGGTGTGTACTCCGGCTGGTCCATGACCCATGCTGCATGTGGCACATGCTTCAGTTGCTCAGGGGCCTGGACTAGCTGGAGTGAGCACCATATGTGGTGTACATTCTGGACTGGTGGGAGGAGCACTGTGTGTGGTGCATATCCCAGACCAGGTGCTGTGTGCAGCACAGTCTTGGACTGGTGGGGGCAGGTGTTGTGTGTAGTGTGAATCCTGAAGCAGGACCTCCGTGTGGCATGCATCCCAGGTCCTGCACATAAGGCCAGTCTGGCATGCACTGCATGGGTCACTTCAGAATCAGGGGCAGCACTGGGGGACTGTGTGGGTTGAAACTGACCCATAGGCCGTATCTTTGACACCTCTGGTCTAAAACTTCATGGGATGCTTGCGCACTGTCAGAGCCTTAAGTAAGAAAATATGATGTAGAAAAGCAGTTTTAGATAGTGAAGTGGTTTTAAATATTTGGGCGGTTGTATATACAGTACTGTTGAAAGATTAAATTTAACATTTAAACTGGCTATGTAAAAAGTGGACTGTATATGTTATTTGAGAGTGTGCCTAGCTGCATCTATTTTAACCATTGTGCATTGCAATTCATTTGTATTTCTTAAAACCTATTGCAAGTAGTTTAAAAAAACCCAAGAATGTAGTGTTCTTACGTAGGTATCTCACAGTGTGCATCAGTGCTTGGATAATTACTTAGAACATTCGTGAATAAAACGGACCTGAAACAGCTGCCAGCACTAAATTTACTGTAGGACAGATTTATAATTTTCACCTGAAAATGTGGTCACCTAGTGCCTAAATTATTACTTCTGCTCACAGTAGGTCCACAGTTTCTCAAGATCATTATGTCAGAATGCACAGTGCAATCAGCACACCTGGTGCAGTTTCACTGAGAGATGTTGTCTGCAATTCTATATAGGGTTTTTTTTGCTGTTTTCTGATTGGCTAATTAACCCCTTCACCTTCACATTCTATTATAAAAACAAGGTCTTATAACTTCCTTCCAGGTACCTTCCCACCAAACAAGATTTCCATTCTCTGACTGCCTTCAGTTTGTCTCCTAACTGCTTATTTAGTTCCCACTGTGTTCTCCACCTGTCTGTGAGGTATCTTCCTTCCCTCCCATCCCTTCAATGATAATGCCCCTGCCACTTGCCCTCTTCTGCTTCCTCTTAGCTAATGTGGTGCTGTATTTCCCTTGCTGTTGTTGCTTACTTTTGCTCCCTGTCCTGTCTGCCTCCACACCTACTTATTATTGTTTCTCCTGACCCTTGTGGCCAACTTACATTCTTTGGATTGACAGTACCACACTGTTAAAACAATTGTAATGTTCCTGTTTATAACAAAACTCTGCTTTTAACAATCCCAAAGCTAGGAACCACTTTTTTCATTATAATGATGCAGCAAATTGACTTAACCCCATTATAGCAAATACCATCTTTAAATGAACTTTTATCCCAGTCCCATGAGGGTTCATTATAATGCAGTTGTGCTATGTTTTCAACTTATGCAGTGCTCCTGGCTTTTATGCCCCTTCATTATCTTCCTCATACTCTTATCTGTGGTGGTTTTCTTCCACCCACACCGTTTGTCTTTCCATCCTTCCAGTTGGATCATGTTGTCTGAACAAATGTATAGTTTTATTGGAGGTAATACTCCAGAAAAGTTTAAAGGGATTTAGGTCCTTTGTTTTGTGCCCAAAGCTGAATTGATTCAGTCTAAGCTGCAGAGATTAAACTGAAAAACAACTGGATACACATTTATTTTTGATTCAGGAAATGCAGCCACATGCCTGCAGTGGCTCAGGCCAGAAGCTGGGGGGAGGGGGAACTAGAGCACTGCTCTCTTGCGGGTAGCTAGCATGGGCTGTGAGTTCGCTTCCTCTTCCTGCTGTCCCTGAGGTCTCTGGGATTTGCAGTTCAGAATTACTGCAGCCAGACTCTGCAGGTTTGCTCATAACTTCCTCTTCCTGCTTCCAGGTGCCTCTGGGATTTGTAGTCCACAGTCACAGCCAGTAGTAAATTTAAGCAGGGAAGGGATATTTAACTCCCCTTCCTGGCCCCAGATCCCAGTGGCAGTTTGCTTGGACAGGGGTGGAGGGGCACTCCTGTATCAAGGTCTGACCAGATGGATTTAAATTCTGTAGCAAGACCCCTAATTTTGGTGGCTGCAGACTGCACGTTCTGCTGTAGCATCAGGTAAATAAAAAAAAGCTCTAGAGGTTTTGTTGCAGATTTTGATGTATTCAAGATGGAATTTAATAATCTGTGTAGCTGTCCCTGTGACTGTTCTGATACTGAATTTATTGTATGTTGTCCCCACTCTGAAATTTAAGCATCCTGCAGATTTTTGGATTAAAAAATATTCATATTATAGAGATTTTCAGAGAATCTGGAGGTTATGTGAAGTGGTAGAGAGAGGCTAGTTGGGATTTTGGCACACAGAAAGGTCTAGGGTAAGCAGATTGGGAATAAGTACGTGAGCCAGATGTTTCCACTGAAATTATCAATAGTGAAAATATTACAAACGCTGACATTTAATGACACACTTTGTTTTGGAGTTGGCCAGGGGTGGGGGGTATAGTTCATGTCTTGAGGGGGCCAGTTTACATCTCTTGCGTCACTCAGTCTTTTTGTATAGACCAGTGATTCTCAACCAGGGTGCTGTGAAATCTGTTTAAGTGTGCCATAGACTGACATGCAGTGTTAGCACTGCTAGGTGTGCAAACATGATTCATGTGATGAACCCAGTGATTTCATATAGGAATCCATAGTGTTAAAACGGTTCTGACTGGCTGTGTTTTTTCTAATTTTTTTTTCTGTAACAAGAATTACTTTATTATTTTCCTGTAGTAAAAAATGAGTAAAAATTAAGAGCTGACACTTTCCAAGAGAAGCCTTAAGTCTGTCCAGGGTTTGAGAACAACTGGTATAGACAAAGACAATGCTGTGTTGTTTTGAAGTGAGAATTGGGCAATGCAGGTGAGATGGGGAGTGGGCCACATGACTTATCCCCTGAAAATCTAATTTAAAGGCTCCTGGGACTTTGCCTAGAGCTCCCCACAGCTTCTTGGGTGGTGTCAGTGCTCCCACTGGTGGGAACTTGCTGTATTTTTCCACATATAGTACATACTCTTCCCCTCAAAATCAACCACTCCAGAATTGGGGTCCATTTATTAAGTGGGGAAACTGATTTTCTGCTTAGAATAGAAACACCCTGCTTTGGTCTGTGTTCCACAGTGTAGCACTTCTGGGTGCATTTATACATGCCATTAAGGCAATGTGAAAAACTCCGGCACAGTTCACTCTGGAGTCAGCTGCTCCCAGGCACTGGATCTACTCATGCACCTGGGACTGCATCAGTTTGAGCTGGGGGGAGCAGCCCCGGACTGGCAGGGGGAGCACAGGGATCGGCCCCAGGCTCCGGATGGCAGAATCAGGCAGCCAAGGGGCTGGCTGGGACACAAGGGTGCTGAAGTGTGGGGTTAGGTGGCAGGCATTTCCCACATTTTGGCACCCTTGTGCCCCAGCCAGCCCCTGTCGCATGCATTTCAGTGGTGTTAAGTAGTCTGTTGTAAGATAGTACTGTTCCCGCCAGTACTATCTAATAGCAGAGTTAATTGATTTACTGTGACCTAATACTGGTGCACATGTAGATGGTGATGCTTTACTGGGGAGCTAATCGGTCAACTCCACTGTAAAATGTGCCCTCTGGTATTACTGTTCAGGAAGCTGAGAAAGTCGGTTGATTCACTTCAGAGATGTTAACAACTGTCTTTCTTTTTTAATGGTTTTGATATTTTGCTAATCAAACTAACCTTTCTTAGTTTCAACTTTCAACTTAAGTTGGTCTAATAAAGGATATCAGATTCACCCAAAAAACCTTGTCTGCCTATAACCTTTCTTAGCGCAGTTTTGCTGTCTGCTAGGTTCTGGATTATTTCTTCTGTTTCACAGCTCTTCAGCTCTTTTCAAAATGTATAGGTCCAACCGAGGACACCAGTATTCAGTCTCAGCTAGGCTTTTAGTTGAGCAAGTGAGTCAGATTAGGCTCTGTCTGTGCTCTCTGCAGTCATAACTTTTGAAAAAAAAAACTTGGTTTCTTCATTCTGCCTTTTAAAACCCACAGTTGTATTGAAGAAAATACATTAGCTGCCTGAGGGGTTTACAGGATTAGGTAGCACCTGGATAGTGGTGTTGAAATGGTGGATTTGGGTGCTTACAGGCATGTCTGTATCTCTTATTTGTTGTGCTGAAAAATGCCACACTGTTCTGTACATACTGCTTCCCAAACCAGAAATAGTGTAGCCATGTTCATTTAGTACTGTTCTGGGGCTAATTAGCTTTATGGAAAGGCATTGTTTGCCATCTTGCTATTCCATGCTAAACCACTGTAATACTTCTGGTGCAAGAGCCAGTGCAGAAGGTTTCTGTACAGCAGCCACCTGACATGGTAAGGTAGTGGTATGGACTTGCCTGAAGTATCTTTGTGATTCTAGGCCTTCATTCTTGCATGGTCTCTATTTCATTGTAGCAGTTCAAGTGTTGTCAGTAATACAGTGCTGTACTGAAGCACTCCAGATATTATGTACCCTTCTGTTGTTTACATGTCTGTGGTGATCCTGAATAACTCGATTCGCCACATCAGGAATAATATCATATTTTTTCTTATTTAAAATAAAAATACCAATTGCTCAACTTTCAGAACAGGAAATGACCAGTATAATTATAATCTGACAATTGTTTTTATGTTTCCTCCCTTTCTCTTCCAGGCATCCTACAGGGGGGTCCTTTATCCGTCCAGACAAGGTAAATTTTGGTGTAGGTTTTCTTACTGCAGTGAAGAACCGCTATGGATTGAACGATGAACAAGATGTGGCATATGGGAAAGACAATGCATTAGTCCTTGGAAAGAAAACTGTGGAACTTGTTGGCTTTGACTCAGTTTTAGAGGAACAAAGGCAAGTGTAATATATACTTGTAACTCTGAAGTTTGTTGGGAGGAAGCCATTAATGCTGAGTTGAGTTTTGCCTTTAATTGGGGAGTCAACCTCTTATAGATGAGAACAATGCATCTTACCTAGAATACAGTACTTAAGGAAACATTGTGGGGGGGTTGTTTTATTCTGAGAGTTTATACACAGCCTTTTTTAGGAAGTAAACTTAAAAGTGGGTCCTTAAATTGTAGCATCTAGTGTGAGGCCTTCTTAGTTCTTATAAATCCCAGTGACAGATTACAGTGATTCAACTTTCTTATATAGTTAGAACTCACTAAAATATTGCGCATTGACTAGATTTGAATCATTTTTAGGATTAATGGCCATTTTTCTATCATTCTTAAATGGTAACTTTATTTTTAAGCAGAAACTGAAGGATACAATGCTGTGTTACAGAGAACTCCACAAAGAATTGTCCTGTTTCCAAATGGTTGCCATTTCCTAGTGTTTTCATATGGACAAACCACCTTAACTTTGACTTAGTAATGCCATTGACTAAATGGAAGGAAACATATATTTAAGAAAATTTAATCCAATCTGGGCCTACAATGATATGAATGATCACTACAGGACAGAGTTAAGGTTTCTGCTAAAAGAGAAATAAGGACAATAAGGAAGGAAAGGCTATTAATCCTAAATATAATTCAAATATATTGCTCATGCACAAGATTCCAGTGAGTATTTGATGTATGGGAAGTTAATCTGCCAGAACAAATAAGGTTGCCTTGTGCATTTCCATATCTTAATGTGTTTGGATTTCTTTTAGGTTAAGCTTAATGTATAACTTACCTGGGTTTATTAATACTTTTCTTTCAGGATAAATATCACATCTTTGTAATGTTACCCTAAATTACTGATATATATTCTTAGCACTATATTTGGTAAAATAGTTTTGAATTCTGTTTTAAATATTCAAAGGATTGGATAAGGTGGGGCTGATATCAAGATTTTTGGGTCACATTTTTTTTACAAAATTATATATATGTAAATTATTTTTATTTTCTGTTTTCAGTTAAACTTTTTTTAGGGGTGGGATTAATCTTTTGCCTGTAGGGTTGAGCCCACATTAAGCAAGACCCTGAAAT